CCCGTGGGGTGCGCCGCCCCACCCCTCTGTCTGGGACCCGCGTGTCCCCGCTGCCCGCGTTGCTCATGGAGCCGCTGACGGTGAACGGCGAGGCCAGCTCCACCTCCACGGACTTGAGGCCTCTGAAGGGAGCCGGATGCAGCCGGGGTGAGGAAGATGCCCCAGGCTGCTGCCTCTTTGCCACGCAGCCACCCCGCCACACCCGTGCCGGGGCTCTCCCACAAGCCCCCCAGGGCAAGGGCTGCAGCCTTTACCCCGCACAAGCTCTGCAGGCCCAAAGCCAAGAGGAGCAGGCGGCTGCTGGCAGCCTCCGGCACCCAGGCCCCCTGCCCTGCTGCCCCGAGGGGCTCCTGCCCCAGCCCTCCCCACACCCGCAGCCTTGGAGGGCAAGGACGTGCTGCCACACACTCCCTGGACTGACAGGGAAGGTCACAGCCAAAGCCACCAGCCCACCCGCCAGCCAAAGGTCCCAGGGCTCAGCCTCTGCCATGCCCACAACCGGTGCCAGCTACTCACCGGATGTGGTACAGGTTGAAAACAAAGTTAGGCCCTGGGAAGCCAGAGATGGAAAGAGAAGACGTTAGCAGAGAGCAGCTAAGTGCACGGTGCCTCAGCTGCAGGATGTGGCCCCGCGTACACGGCGGGAAGGCCCCTCTGCATGTCCAGAGCCCACGTGGAGCCAGGCTGGACGGGTGCTGTGCCAGGTCCGGGCTCCTGATCCAGCCCCCAGTGCAGCTTTGCTGTGCGGTGCCCGTGGATGCTTTGCAGGGGCAGGGGTCCATGCCCTTATCTCTCTGGCTCCTGGGGGAGTTGTACGCACTTCCCAAGTGGGAGTGTTAGGACATGCCAAGCACCAGGCACGCAGGGAGAGGGCTGGAGCAGCTGGTGCCTCTAGAGACATCTGGCTGCTCCGGGTCTGCCTGTCTCGGGAAGCGGCCTGCTGCATGCAGCTGCTCCCAGCTCGCTCCAGTCAGGCCAGAGTGCAGCGCACTGACACTCCTGCTTCGTGGCACAGGGGCCAAGTCCTCCCACCATCACCGGCCCCGCACTTCATCCAGTGCCAAGCTGGAGCCCTCGGAGACGCGCGGGAAGGGAGCACCCCCGCGGAGCGCCCCTCAGCGCTGCCCCGGCCTCGGCCCACCGCCCGGCCGGACTCACGGTGCCAGCAGTGCCCACCCTGGAACCACTTGATGAGGCTGTAGCCGAGGATGCCCAGGATCAGCAGGGACAGGCCCACGCCCAGGAGGAGGCCGAGGATGCTGATGGGCTCGTTCTCTGCAAGACAGAGAGGACGCGCTCTGGAGGGGACCGGCCACAGCGCCTGGCAGCTCCGGGTGCAATGGGACCCCTCGCCCCTGCCCACCCTCTGGACCGTTCCCCTTACAGCACGGAGACGGGGGTCAGGACACTGCTGTTGTGCCAGCCACACGCAGCACAGCTGACACCCAGGGCTGTGTCCCCTCCCAAACACCCAGCTCCCGGAGTCCTGGGACTGCAGCAGCATCCTGCCCTTGGGGAAGAGCTGAGCACCGCAGCCCGGAGAGGGAGGCAGCAAGTCACGATGCCTAGTCCCGCCTGCCTGATGCCAGGGCACACTGCCTCATCTGCGAGGGCAAAGCTATGACCCCCGCAGCCCTGAGCTCCCTGGATTGGCCCCAGCACCCTGCCCAGGGTGGGGGGCAGGTGTTGTTTGCAACCCCAGCCAGGCAGGGGGGCAACAGCTCCACAGGGCTGCACCCTGCCCCAGCAGCAAGTCAGGAGCCTCCTTAGCCAGCCCTGCTGGCATCGGCCTCCACACGCCTGCTCTTGGGCCCGCCGCCGCTCGCCTGCACCTGCCCAGGCCCAGAGCATCCCCTGCTCCTGCCTAGCCCAGGAGCCCATTGCTGGGGAGCCGGCTCCCTCCTGCGGCCACGCACGGCAGTGCCAGCCCTGCCGTGAGCACAGCCTGTGCCAAGCCACGGGCAAGGGGCAGCAGGAGCCCCCCAGCACCGTGCCTCCTGCCAGCGGCCTCTGCAGGGGCCAGAGCAGCCGGAAGCTGCGTGCCTCTGGGGTGGAGGCCGGCACGCCAGGCACCTGGCACCAGAAAGCACAGCCCCATCCTGGGCCACCCCAGCCACGCTCCCTTGCAGCTTCCCTGCAGCACAGACAGCTACTGCCCAGCCGCAGCAGAGGCCACACAGCCCCCTGGATGCCGTGGAGGAGCCACGCGGAGCTGAGGGCTCTGCAGGGCCAGGAACAAAGACTTGGCCCTGAGCACCAGCCCGTGGCACCCTCACTCTCCAGCAGCCCCAAGCCTCGGCACCACGCCAACAGACCCGGGCCAGGGGAAGAGGACAGGTTGCTACAAGCCCCACCGCACCGCCCACACCTTCACCTCAGCCCCTGGGAACTGGGCAGCCTTGCCCAGCCCTGCCCAGTGCCCCCCCAGTGACACCAGCACCACCTGCTCTCAATTAGCACCTGGGAGGCTGCACACCTGTGGCAGCTTTGCAAACAGAGCTGCTGTGCCAAGCTGGAGCACTGGGCCCGCTAATGAGCACTGGGCCCACGGGCGAAGCAGAGCCCTGGGAATAGTGCGAGCAGAGCTGGTGCAAGAGCAGAGGCTGGCGGGTGCCAGGGGTCACAGCCGTGCTGCCCAGAGCACCTGGCACAGCTCTCAGGCAAAGTCCCTGAGGGCCCTGCACAGTTGGCAGAGCAGGACACCGCCAGCTGTGGGTGCATCAGACCCGACCGAGCCCGCGCCAGCCCCATGGACAGGACCTTGCCAGGGCACTGGTTACAGCAGTCCTTTGCCCCCGCTCCCAAGGGCTCGGCACCACTTGTCTTCCTGGAGCACGGCTACATCTTGCAGCAGGCTGAGCATGGAGCAAGAGGGAACGCACCCTCAGCCCGCGCCCCCCGTGCACCCACAGGTGCGTCACAGAGGAGGGGGCTTGTTCCTGTCAGGCCTGCCCCCGTCACCACGCAGCACGCAGGCCTGTGCCCAACAGCGGCAGCAGGGGCGGCTGCAGAGGGAGAGGGTCTGAGCGGGGCAGCTCCAGAGCGCTCCGGCCCGCCAGCTTCCCTGGCCTGTTTATAGCTCCCAACCGGCCCATCCCCTCCTGGTCCCCTGCGGCAGTGGGTTCCCCCAGTGAACGCTGCACGGTGCACGCAGCCTGGCTTTGCCCTGCCCCCATCCAGGCCAGCGGGTGCCCCTCCCCGCCCGTCCCATCCAGCCCTGCCAGGTCCATGGGCCTGTGCCAGAGCCTTCCTCAAGCTCCCGGCAGGCTGGGTGGCTGCGTGGGTCCCTGGCCCAGGTCCTGCAGGCATCACGCTCCGTGATCACACCGCTCCCTGCAGCAACTGCACACTCCGCTCTGGTCTGTGGGAACAGGCAGCCCTGCCCGGAGGGAAACGGGGCCGCCGGGCTTGCCAGAACGCCCTGGGGCAGTGTTACACAGTGGACACTGCGTGCGGACGCACCTGGGGACTCTGCCCATCAGGCCCCGGGGGAGCTGTGGGCCGCGTGCTCCTGGCCTGGCCTGGCCTGGCCTGGCCTGTCTGTGGAGGGAGCAGGCCAGCACGGCTCTCCCCCAGGTGGGAAGTGTGGTGTGTCAGCCCAAAATGCCACTGAGAGTCATCCTGATGGGACCCCCAAAAGGGACCCCCACACCTGCCCAGGCAGCTGCTCCACCTCTCCCAGCAGCTTCCTGCCAGGCTGCCAAGCCCATGTCACGCATGAACGAGTGCAACAGCACAGCACGGCCCAGGGCCCTGCTGCTCACCGGAGACACCCCGGAAAGCAGCCCCTGGGAAGGTGCAGGCACTAGTCAGGGTCCTGAGTGGCTCTCAGAACAGCCCCGCCGGCGCTCCAGACAAGCCGTGCATGGACTTGTGATGGGGGCACACCCGGCCGCCGGCCACTCTGGGGGCACACCCATAGGTTTCATAGATTTCATAGACATTCGGGCTGGAAGGGACCTCGGAAGATCATCGAGTCCAGCCCCCTGCCCCAGGGGCAGAAAGTCAGCTGGGGTCATAGGATCCCAGCAAGATAAATGTCCAAATGTGTCTTGAAGGTGTTCAAAGTGGGTGCTTGAACCACCTCCAGTGGCAGGCTATTCCAGGCGTTGGGGGCTCAGGCAGTAAAGAAGTTCTTCCTTATGTCCAGCCTGAAATGGTCACGGAGGAGTTTGTGACCGTTCAACCTCGTCATCCCTTGGGGCGCTCTGGTGAACAAACGTTCCCCCAGATGCTGGTGGTCACCCTTGATAAACTTGTAGGTGGCCACCAGATCACCCCTGAGCCTGCGCTTTTCCCGGCTGAAGAGCCCCGGGGCTCTCAGCCTGTCATCTTAAGGTCTGCTTCCCTGACCTCTGAGCATGCGCGTGGCTCTTCTCTGCACTCTCTCAAGCTTCTCCACATCCTTTTTGAATTGTGGGGCCCAAAACTGGACACAGTACTCCAGCTGCGGCCTCACCAAGGCCAAATACAAGGGGAGAATGAAGTCCCGGGATTTGCTTGAGAAGCATCTATGGATGCAAGCCAGCACTTTGCTCACTTTACTAGCCGCAGCATCACATTGGAGGCTCATGTTCAGCTTGTGATCAATGATGACCCCCAAGTCCCTTTCGTCCGTAGTGCTAGCCAGTGTAGCATTGCCGAGCCTACAAGCGTGCTGCAGGTTTTCCTCCCAAGGTGGAGAACCTTGCGTTTTTCAGTGTTAAACATCATCAGGTTCTCGTCCACCCATTTCCTGAGCCTGTCAAGATCTGCCTGGATCACCTCCTGTCCTCGGGTGTGGATGCTTTACCCCAAAGTTTGGTGTCGTCGGCAAACTTGGCCAGTCCGCTTCTGACTCCAGTGTCCACATCATTAATGAAGATGTTAAATAGTATTGGCCCAAGAACAGAGCCTTGAGGGACCCCGCTGGTCACTGCGCACCACGACGATTGACTTCCCTCAACCACCACCCTCTGGGTCTGACCACGGAGCCAATTCCCCAGCCAGCGGATCGTGGAGGACCCAAGGCCGCAATTGGCCAGTTTTGCCAAGAGGCGATCATGGGACACCAGATCGAAGGCTTTTTTAAAGTCAAGATATATGACATCAATCTCTTCTCCCTTGTCCAGGTGATAGGTCACCTGGTCGTAGAAGGAGATGAGATTGGTCAAGCAAGACCTACCCACAACAGACCCGTGCTGGCTACCCCTCAGGATGTTGCCATCAGCCAGTCTGTTAAGGACGGCCTCTTTGATAATCTTTTCCAAGACCTTCCCCAGGATAGAGGTCAGGCTGATGGGCCTGTAGTTTGCCGGATCCACTTTCCTCCCTTTCTTGAAGATAGGCACCACATTGGCCGTCTTCCAGTCTTCAGGCACTTCTCCAGAGCGCCAGGAGCTCTCCAAGATCCGTGCCAGGGGCTGGGCTATGATGCTCGCCAGCTCCTTGGGTACCCTGGGGTGTAACCCATCAGGGCCAGCTGACTGGAAGGTGTCCAGCCTCTCAAGGTGTTCCTTCACGAGGTCAGCATTGATGGAGGGCAGGGGATCTCCGTCACCCGGGCCTTCCTGTCCCATAAGGCAAGGCCGTCCCATGGGACTGATGAAAAACCGACACAAAGTACCCATTTAGCAAGTTGGCTTTTTCCTGGGCATTGGTTGTCAGTTGTCCCATCTGGTTTCGCAGGGGTCCAACGTTGCCCCTGCTTTTCCTTCAGCTCCCCACATATCTAAAAAAGGATGTTTTATTGTCCTTGATACTTGTAGCTAGTTGAAGTTCAGTCGCAGCCTTGGCTTTCCTCTCTGCAGATCCAGACCAGAGCAGAGTTCTCCTCCTTGGAGGTGGATCCCGTCCTCCATCCTTTGTAGGTCTTTCTTGACCTACACACCTAGCCACCCACTCTCCACCAAGACCCGCCTTGTGCAGAGCCCAGTGCCCAGGAGGAACGGCGAGACACTGATTCCTCCACCAGCGCCACTGCAGGCTGCCTCTGAGGGAGGAGGGAATAACTCAGGTCCCCAGTTTTGCAGCGCTGCCTCTGGAAAGCAAGGCAGCATCCAGCCGGAGATGCAGCGGAGGGGCGCCGGGGGCCTGGAGCCGGGGACCAGCCACATGATGCCGACCAGCCAGCACAGCGACAACCAGCAAGAAGCAGCAAGAGCAGCGAGGCAGCAAACACACACGGTGTAGCAGTTTCAGAGTTATTGCTTGTTCAGAAAGCCCATAAATAAAAAACACAGCTCATAAAGGGGTGACTCAGAGTCCTGGGGCCTCTTCCCCGACCCAAGTAAGTGCTGCCGCTTCACGCTGCTCCCTCGCGGTGCATTCCTCCCTCTCCTGGCCTCAGGGTGCTGCCTCCAGCCTTGCAGCCCTTGGTCTTCTGCCAGACCACCCAGTATTGCAGCCACCAACCAAACAGCCTCCCCCTCTCTCCCTGCCTGCTCTTCCCAGGCTCTGCTGCTTCCTATGGGCCAATTATCCTCTGTAGCTGGTCCCCTTCTCCTAGCACCTGCAATCAGTGCCTGCGGCCTCCAGCATGGCTGGCATCCCTGCCAGCCTGCAGGCCCCTACAGCCGGAGCATGCTGGCTGCTGCAAGCTTCTGCCAGCCCACCTGCCACACCTGAGCAGCCCCCCGGCCTTCAACAGTCCCGTTTGCCCCGGCTCCAGAGGGTGCTGGCAGCCCCGGGGTTCACACAGCCTTGCAGGGGTCCAGGGTCCGGCACAACACAGGCCTTGGCCATGCCCAGGACATGAGAGGAGCGCGATGAGCCTGCCAACAGCAGACTTGGGGCTGGAAAGAGCTTCCCTGCAGCAAACGGTAGCGCTGCCAGGCCAGGAGCCCATGCACCACCCAGCAACACCTGCTCCGTCCTGGCCGCTTCCTGGATGCTTTTGATGGGACTCACCACCCGTCAGGCCCAGACACTTCGGAAGCAACGCCCCAGGAAAGTCAAAAGTGCTCCCCCCACCCCGAGGGCAGGCGCGAGGCAAAGACACGAACCCTTTGCCCACCCGGAAACGCAGCCTCCTGTGGGTGCAGCTGGCAGCGCGCAGGGCACGGCAGGGTCACATGCCAGGCGAGGGCAAGGCGAGGTGCTGCTGAGGGAAGGGATCAGGGTGCGGATGGGACCCACTGACTCACTGCAGCAAACCGGCTGATCTGTCCTGAGCCCAAGGAACCGGTGACCTGACGGCAGGGGCATCACCGGGCCGTGACCCCGTGCATGCTCCTTCCTCCTCCAGCACCTCTGCTTCCAACCAAGGCGGGAGGCAGGCTGAGCAGAGGGGCAGGAGGAAGAGCCTTGACCCTCCCCTGCGATGGCACCTCTGCAGATGGGGCAGGTGCCCGGGAGGATGCCTGCGGGGGTGGCGCTGCTGATAGATGGGTGTCATGTTACAATACAAATCATCATTCCAGTTCGACTGCTCCTGCATGGGTTTAAATAGCACTGCTGCTGTCCCACAGCCAGCACCGATACCACGGCCCACGGCAGCGCTGCCTGGCACAGCAGAGGGGCACCCGGGCTGCACAGCATGGGACCCAGGCCACACTAAGGGCACTTGGCCACAGCAGTACGCACGCTGCCTCCAGGCACCCCGGACTGGGAGAACCAGCTGCACAGAGCTGGCGAGGATGGTGAGTCACCAGTGCCAACAGCGTGGCTCAGAGCCAGTGCCCTTGGGCCCTGCCGGACCCCGGCATCCTCCCCCCGGACAGGTGCGCCCCACGGCCTGGCGTGTTGCAGCCTCCTGCTGCGGGCACAGGCTCGGTCCCCTCCAGGGCCACGCAGCGCTTGTTCCTGTGTGCCCGGGGGAAACCACCCACCCCTGCCCCTGCCCCTGCCAGGCCACCTGCTGTTCCCTGGCTCCAAGAGCTGCAGCACCTGCACCCAGGAGCATGCTCCCCACTCCCCGTCTCTGTTTCGTGCGGCTGTTGGATAACTATATCACCCCCCGCTGCTCCCAGGCCTCTGCGGCTGCCCTTCGGACCTGCACAGTCGCTGCGCTTTGGCGAGTCGCTCGCCAGGCCACATGCACCTTTCCCGGGCTGGGCAGCGTGCTCCCGAGAAGGGCCGTCCTCCCCGGGCTGCTGTGTGACCGCCGGGCTCAGCACTCCCCACAAGCCTGTCGGCCCGCACACCCCGGCAAGGCTGCTGGGGAGGGCGCCTGCACTGTGCACCCGGGGATCTCCCCCCGTGGGGTCCCCTCGCCCAGAGCCCCCCAGACCAGGCAGGGCACAGCTGAACGCACCGCTGGGCCAGCTCAGCACCAGCAGCTCCGATCCCGGAAAGCTGGCGCTCGTCTCAGCCTCGAGGCGGCAGTGACCGCTCTGCTTTGAGCTGGGACCGAGTGGGGCTGCACGGCAGGGAGCGAGAGCCCTTTCCACCCCCGCTGGCATCAGGGGCTTGCTCTGGCAAGGAGGCGATTTCATCGAAGAAATGTCGAGATGAAACGCGGCCCAGCCGTCGCCGCGCTGCTCGGGGATGACCTGCCTGCGTGGGGGTCGCTCCCCTAGATAAGTGGAGGCTGGAGGGGACAGAGCTCAGGCCGGGCCGAGGAAAGGGAGACACCAAAACAGGGCCAAGCCCCAGAGTCACCTGCTCCGGGCCCTGCCCCATCTCCCTCCCACTCCCTGAACCAGTTTTCTGACCTCTGTGGGTGCAGCGAGCTAGGCAGAGGCCACAGCCAGCGAGTGCCAGGAGAGGCCCGGAGGCCCACGCTGGAGGGCAAAGCAGCGGGAGGAGACGCACTGGAAGTCCCTCGCACCCTTCTTGCTCGGGGGGCAGCAGCGACTCCCGAGCAGGTGCCGGCGGACCGGCACCCCAGGCTGTGGGCAAAGGCGGCACGGCCAGCACCCTCCCACTCAGCCGTCACTGGCCTCGGCCGCGTGGGCGCTGAGCGGGTGTGACAATGCTCCAGCTTGTGCAAGCACGGGGATCTGAGTGGGTGGCATTGCACAGCCACGCCAGCCTCCCCATGGGGGCAGGAGGGGCTGCACCAGGGGCAGCACCTGAGCCCTGGGCTCCCAAGTCACCCTGCCCTGGTCCCTCCGGGGGCAGAGCTGTTAGCGACAGCTTAACGAGCCCGTGGGCTCAGCTGAGCTCTACCCTCCTGCCCAGGGCTGCAGTTCCTGCTGCATTAGCCCCCGCTCGGTGACATCGGTGTTTCCCATAAAGCCCCGACTCCTGGAGTCTTGTGACCACACGGGGAGCTGAGCCTGCAGGCAGGGCTGCGGAGAACGCGGAGCACCCACAGCCGTGATAAAGAAAAGTGCTTGGCATTCGTGACCGCTGGGGTCTCGTAGCTCTGCGGAAACTTGACGGGCTGCTCGCTGTGTGGGGCTGGCTGCACCACCGCCGTCAGCAGCGAGGGGCAGCTGAGAAGCCTGGACAGCCCCCAGCTCTCCGCCAGCCGCACGGAGCCCTGCTCCCAGGCCCGGAGCCTTCTCCACCGCTCTCCTCTGGGCCAGCTGGCCTCATTGCGCTCCTCCTCTGCCTGCTGCCCGGGGCAGAGCCGGAGCCTTACCTGTCATCGTGGGGCCCAGCCGCGGCACCGAGGACAGTGGTCTTGCTCAGGGCTGGAAGGGACAGTAAAGCAACATGTCAGCGTGCTGATCTCCATGGGCCAGGCCAAGCCGGCACCTCGCGTTAGTGGCCAGGGCGCAGCTCCCAGCCGCACGGCGAGGGCTGGGGAGAACGTGGGGGTCCGCGCACGAGTCCGGCCTCGCAGCCCTGACCGATCGGGCCAGTCCCAGAGTGGCTCAGCTGCTGCTTGGGCAGAGCGGGCGTGTGCCAGGGCCCTCCTGGCCCCGGCGAGGCTCCTGTCCTGCCATCCAGTGTTACCAGGAGCTGGAGGGAGGGCGCAGCGCGGTGCCTTGCTCCTGGTGCCAGCTGCTCCGAGGGGTGGATTGTTGACAGCGTCTCCTAGCAGCGACAAAGGCTGGCCCTGCGCTGCTTCCCTGCGCTGGTCCCGGGGGTTGCGGCAGCTCCCCTCCCCTCCCCTCCCCTCCTCACCGCCCCGTGGGACCAGCAGACAGACGCGGCGATGGGGGAAGGCAGGAGCCCCGGGGGCCGCCCCAGCCGGCAAACCAGACCTGGACGCTAACGTAAGGCGGACGTGCTGGGAAGTGGAGCCCCGCCACCCGAGCCCCCATGGGGCCGAAGGGCGTCTGGCCCTCCCTGCTGGGATCTGCCGAGAAAATGGTCCTGAGAGCGGATCTGCAGCCTGTCCCCACAGCCCTGCGGGTGGGAGGGACTCTCCACGGCAGCGACCCTCAGCCGTGTGCCCCGAGAGCCTTCGAAGGGTGCCCCAGGAAGCGTGAGATGAGCAGAGAAGCCGGCCTGGGGCTC